GTGAAAAGTTACAGCACCAAGTAACAGCACCACAGGTTTTTAGCTACTGCTTGTCTTCCTCTTCAGTTGTTTTTCTTTTTGATATGAATGCACTGAGTATCTGCTCAGTTAACATAGATGAATCTTAGCTTAAATACTTTCACATCAAGTATTTTAATTTTAAGTCACCTATATTTTTTAGTACTGTTAGTTAATTCACCAAGTATGTATCACTATAACATTAACTGTACAGTCTAAAAAGGACTAAAGATTGTTACCTACAAGGCTTATGAAATATGCCCCATTAAGAATGATTTCTGTCTTTTTCTTTCTTGCTTTTTAAGTGGGGCCTAGTGGTATGTTTTTTCAAATATTTGTACAAAATAAAATCCAAAAGCCAAGAAGCTATCGAGTAATAAACTGCATAGTAATAAAAGTCTACATGCTTTTTTTACTCCACAGTGATGTATACATTTCAACAAAAGAATTGTGTTGCTACATATCAAGATATGCAATCATCAAAATAAAAAAAATAATGCTTTTCATGCATAATACATGTTGATTACACATCTAAACAGGACCAGGAGATGTAAACTTAAAATATCCAATAACATTTCACAGATCAGCATTTTTTTAGATGGAGACAATACTAGAGAGACGACTACTCAGTAACTCACAATTTAACGTACAGATCTTGACAATGCTACTTTGCACAAATAAATTGTTCTCTTGAACTCCTAAGTCTTAGTAGCTTTTTGGTATTCTTTTGTAGGACTTATTTAGCATAATTTAATCTCCAAAGAAATTACTGAATGTCCAAGGTTGAGATGCGTGCTATCTCAAGTATCTCAACTATCCTTAAGCTGAGGTTTAACATTAATTTTAATACTTTACAGATTTATGTTAGTTAAAAAAAGGAAATGCAAGAAATTGTTCTCACTGGACTGTATTGGCAGTCTATTTTAATGGTATAATAGAACCTTGTAAAAATTATTTTTAGTGAGGGCCTTCCAGTTCAGCACACTTTTTATGTAATATATTAAATTGCTGGTGTAGCTTTAAAATTTGTAATGCTTTGAGATCATGAAAATTAGAATAAAGTCCAAGTTTATATGAGAGAAGTAACAATAAATATAAACCTGAGATTTTTTTTTTATAGACAAGCTGTACGATTTTTTTCCCCCCAAAATTATGTCTGATACATGTTACATTTGTAACTGCATCAGAAGGCAATGGAAATACACCACCAAAATACCATGTTAAAAGTTATGCATATTAATGGCGTTTTCTTACAAAAGGTCTTTACAAAGTACAGTGGGCATTTGTTCTGTTCTAGATCTACAAACAGTAAAAGTAATTTTCATCACCTTTTAACTGTCTGTAGATATTCTTTATTTCTGACAGGTAATCAACAAATTACTCATTTTCAGTTAAAGGTAGGATAGCATCCTCAATATTAGGTATTAACCTCTGATTTTGTTTTTACTGAGATCTGTAAAACTTCATTGCTAGACAGAGCAAACTGCATTACTTCCAAGGGAATTAAGTAGCAAAAATACCCTCAATCAACAAAAAGTCTGAAAATAAACATACATCTGTTGTGAATCTGTATTGGCTCTAATGTTAAAGTAAGGATGCCTGCCTTGACCAAGCTGCCCTGAAAAAATGCACACACGTCATAATTACAGCACAATAAAATTCCATCTTTGTTTGATAAACCCTTGGGTATAATAAAATCTGTGGATAAAAGGAGCTAAAATAATATTTTTAAGCTTTATATTTTGATGGTAAGGGGCATTTCTTGAGCTGGCAAAAAAATTAATAACACTGATTTCAGTGAAACCATGACAATTCATGTAAGTGAAGGATCTAACCCTAAAATATTTCCATTTGTCTCATTGTACTGTAGCATGCATATACTAACAGGGCACAGACCTCAAAAGAAATGGGCAACACCCCTAATTATCAGCAGAGCTATTAACACTAAAAATATCAGCAGGGTCAAATGTTCAGGGTATTAAAACCTGTTCTAAGAGCCTGAACAGGAGTATAGTACAGGAATTCTGAAGCAGAAGGCATTCCGCCTTCCTTCATATGATTTCTATATCTTGCAATACATTTTAAAATTAAAAAACAGATGCAACCATTAGCTCATTTTAGGAGAGGATAAACCATGTCCAAAGCTAGGTTGGTTCCAGCTGTTTTATGAGCTAAATGGTTTACAGTTCTCAAACATCTAAAACCATTCTTTTATTTTCACTTGGCATTAGAAGTTTAGGGCAAGTTTGTTGACACTGACTACTCCCACATGTAGATCAAAAGTGCAATATAGAAAGATATAATAATATAAACATGAAATCAATCAATAATATGGAGCTCTAGTAAACCTTCATATTTTGCTTCATAGAATTGCTTTTATTTACAAGTTTTACATTAGAATTTTCTTGATTTTTTTTTTTTAATGTTTCTTTACAGCCTGTTTGCTGAAAGCTGCTTTAAAATTATACAAGCCACTGTGTCATAAATCTACAGATTAGTTATAGACTGATAAATCCATAAGTGTATTAACTAGGATGTTGCAATAAACTGTTAGCTACTAATTTGCTTTAACATCCATTGCATGGCTGTTTGCTTATGTTGCTTCAAATGAAAAACCCTTCAAATTCTTGTTTTGCTTACAATGAGAACTTTTGAGACATGATGAGAACACAGGTTATTGAACAGAGGCAGGTATTATGGGAAACAGAGGAAGATTAATTTTAGATTATATTGAAAAAAGTATTTAGCTCTCTGATTTTCCCCTCCATCATTCCCCTTTTACCTTTTGGATGCTCTTCTTGTACAAAAAAAAAAAGAGTGCAACATGGCTCTGACTCTTGCTTCTCTTGGAAAGTTAATCTTTACTTTTCCCACCATCTCCTCTTTTGCTTCACTTATTCTGCTTTTTATCATAGAAAACATGTGCCAGTGCCCCCCTAACCTCTAGAGTTAAACAACTCAACTGAGTTTGATCTGGAACATTATATTTTTTTAACCCGTTCTTCAGCTGTTTAGATATTTTATGCCTCAAACGGTGTCAGTCTCGCTCTTTGCCTTCTATTTTCTCCCTCCTTGTTCAACATTTCCAGAGCCTGATTGACTGACAGCAGCAGGTTGGTAAGAAACTTCGGGACATGCTGTTAACATCTGACACTGGAAGAGTGCTCAGCCTGGGCACGTTAAGGGAAGTTACACCTATTAGAGATGAAAGAGCTCTGTGCCTGATGACTATTTACAAGGCACCTGAAACAAAATTCATTCCCTCCCTGTCCCCTATCAGCTGTTTACAGTCAGAGGGTTTGTGCTGGAATAACCCCCCCTCCCAAAAAGAAAGGGAAAAAAAAAGGACTTGGATATACTGCATCCATTGCATGAATAAGTTAGGGGTAAATTTTGTTTTGGCTCCTCCTGCAAAGCAGTGCTAACAAAGCACTCCCGTTAGTGAACCTCTCACGGTTCCTCCTTCCTGGGGCCCTGAGCACTACGTCTTCTGGACCAAGCAGCATCGCTCATCTCGCAGCGCTGGGAGCTAAGAAAACAAGTCACAGCGCAGGCATCGCCTTTGCTTTGTACGCTTCCTTTTAATATTAGAGCACATATTGAAACGATAAACACAATGAAACGCACAAAATATTTCATCAGTGTTGTAACTGAATATTTCCTTTATTCTGAAGCAATATCAAGGGGTGACCAGTGCAAAGCAGCAAGACTTACTGCTGTTTTGGACATCGCATTAGATGGGATTGTTACAGCTAAAACTAAGTTAACACACTATTTTGTTTTGGGGTTTTTTTTCCGAAAAAAAGCATTAGATCTAAAAAATTAAAAAAAAAGGGGGGAGGGCGACTCTTACCGTCTAAAGACTGCTGCAGGTTGCGGCTCAGCCTGAAACTGCCAGGGCAAATGCAGCAGCTGCTGAACAAAAGTTTTTAGATTTTTTTTTTTCGTGCAGAAAGTCTGCAAAACTAATTTCCCACAAAATAGGGCTCAATTTCCGTTTAAGTAACTAGCTCTTGCAAATCTCATGCAATTCCTGATTTTTTTCCGATAACGACTGAAATTTATTTTTTTTTTTAATTTTTGACACACGGACTCCAGAATTAAGACACAAATGGCAGGACCCCTGCTGATTTATTTATTTGGGGGCGGGGGGGTTAAGACAGAAAACGTTGCTTGTGGGTGCTCCCCCTTGCTCACGCACACGTTGGTGGGGGGTTGTACAGGTGGGCTGCGCTGGCGCGCGGCTCCACTGACCGCATCCCCTGCGTGCAGCGGCGTCTCAAACTCTCTCCGCCGTGTCTCACCTGAGACGGCGAAAAGCAGCGTGGGGAGGTATCAGCTGCAGTCAGAGAACTGGAAGATGTGAGAGAACTTGGTCCTTTTGGTATGTGTTGGGGGGGTTGTTTTGTGGTGTTGATGGCAGCAAGTGTCTTCCACTGACCATGAGGCGCTGGTGCAACCTCCCGCAAACTCACTCCCTGGCCTCTCGGCGCCCGTTTCCCGCCCGAGCCCCGGGGCCAGCAGGGTGCGGGGAGCCCTGTGCAGCGGGGGCCACGCGCGATCGGCCCAGCGGAGGGTTATTCGCGCTGTTTGTTGCTGGTCACCCCCGGGTGCGGCAGAGAGCCCGGGCCGGGGCCAACGGGGCAGGTGTGGGGCCAGCAGGTGAGGCCGGCAGAGGCGCGGGTGCGAAGCGGGCGCCGCCTCCAGCGCGCACCCAAGTTCAGGGGCGGCTGCGTGCAGCGGGAGCGGAGCCGGCCCCTCCTCCCGGGGGGCGGGGGGGCGAGCAGG